AAATTTGAATCGATGGAAATATGAAAAATTCCAATCTGATTCAATGAAAATGTGAAAACTTCAATTTTATGGAAATATGAAAATTTCAATCAATGAAAATATAAAAATGGGAAAATATGATTAGATAAAATTTTAATCAACAAAAGTTTTTAATTCAGATAAATGAAAATTTCAATGAATAAAAAATTCAATCATGGAAATTTGAAGTTATGAAAAAATTATCATTTCAATAAAATTTTAAACGATAAAAAATTCAAATTCACATAAATTCCAATTAATGTAAAAAATGGAGGTAAATTGTCCTTGATCGACTGTTTTCCTATGGCAAGTGGAGGATTATCTCAAAGTTATAAAAAGGTTAATTAATCGCTTTGAAAAAGAAAAAGGACTGGAATAACATTCAATAATGATATTCATTTCATTTTCACATTTTTAAACCTCTACTGATTCCCCCACCCCCCCCTTTTTTTTCCCCTTCCTATTGTTCACTCTCTCGTGGAGGATCTTTTATGCTTTATTTTCTTCTTTCCCCCTTCCCCCAATGCCACCCCCACCCGTTTCCTCCTCGGCTCCGTCCATTTTTTTTCGTATTTTTCATCGCCATTTTTTTCCTTTTTTTTTTGAAACTTGGTTTTACTTTGGACGACAACATGAAATAAAAAGACCACTATTGAGACTAAAAAACGGGGGGAAAAAAAAAAAAAAACTCGTAGGGACGGAGTCTCGCCGCCCCTACGGATTCATAACTAATGATTTGACAACCTGTCTGTGATGACATATGATTAAGCGACGAAAATGTCACTTACCCTCTTTATCAAGACAAGAATTGCACCAAATACGGTTGTAATGACCGCTTACTGTCTTCACGTGAATATAACCATCCGGTAACTATCGCTATATCCAGACTGAAAATTGTACTAAATACGACTATAATGATCGGACGTTCTATTCTCGTGAAGACGGTAACTTAGTTGGTACACCCAAATACAAACCTAATGAGTTTGAATCCACTGTTAAAAAAAA